TTTTAGTCTTGGTTTTGTCCTGGTTTAGTCCCAGTTTAGATCTGGTTTTAGTCCTGGTGTAGTCCTGACTTAGACCTGTTTTAGCCCTGGTCTAGACCTGGTTTAGTCCTAGTTTTGTCCCAGTTTAGACCTGGTTTTAGACCTGGTTTAGTCCTGGTTTTAGACCTGGTTTTAGACCTGGTTTACTGGTTTAGACCTGGTTTTACTCCTGATGTAGACCTGGTTTTAGACCTGGTTTAGTCCTGGTTTAGTCCTAGTTTAGTCCCAGTTTAGACCTGGTTTAGACCTGGTTTAGTCCTGGTTTAGTCCTAGTTTAGACCTGGTTTAGACCTGGTTTTACTCCTGGTTCAGTCCTGGTTTAGACTGGTTTTAGTCCTGGTTTAGTCCTGGTTTAGTCCCTAGTTTAGTCCCAGTTTAGACCTGGTTTTAGTCCTGGTTAGTCCTGACTAGACCTGTTTTAGCCCTGGTTAGACCTGGTTTAGTCCTAGTTTTGTCTTAGACCTGTTTTAGACCTGGTTTTAGTCCTGATTTAGACCTGGTTTTAGGTTTAGTCTGGTTTACTGGTTTAGCCTGGTTTAGTCCTACCTGGTTTTAGACCTGGTTTTAGTCCTGGTTTAGTCCTAGTTTTAGTCCAGTTTAGACCTGGTTTAGACCTGGTTTAGTCCTGGTTTAGTCCTAGTTTAGACCTGGTTTAGACCTGGTTTTAGACCTGGTTTAGACCTGGTTTAGTCCTAGTTTAGACCTGGTTTAGACCTGGTTTAGTCCTAGTTTAGTCCCAGTTTAGACCTGGTTTAGACCTGGTTTAGTCCTGGTTTAGTCCTAGTTTAGACCTGGTTTTACTCCTGGTTTAGTCCTGGTTTAGACCTGGTTTAGTCCTGGTTTAGTCCTAGTTTAGTCCTTTAGACCTGTTTAGTCCTGTTTAGTCCTGGTTTAGTCCAGTTTAGACCTGGTTTAGTCCTGGTTTAGTCCTGGTTTAGTCCTGGTTTAGACCTGGTTTAGACCTGGTTTTAGTCCTGGTTTAGTCCTGGTTTAGTCCTAGTTTAGTCCCAGTTTAGACCTGGTTTAGTCCTGGTTTAGTCCCAGTTTAGACCTGGTTTAGTCTTGGTTTAGTCCTGGTTTGGTCTTGTTTTATCACCACTGTTGTAGCTCACATTTCCGTCCTAATCTGTGTGTAATCCTGTTTTTAATCCAAACCTGAACCTCCCACTGAATCCACTGCTGTGTGACGCTGAAAGATCAGTTCACTCCTGTCACGTCTGAAACCACAGCAACCACTTTCATTCAGCTCTTTAACATTCAAACAACACTTATACTGCCTTTAAAACATGTCCAGGACTAAACCAGGACTAAACCAGGACTAAACCAGGACTAAACCAGGACTAAACCAGGACTAAACCAGGACTAAACCAGGACTAAACCAGGACTAAACAAGGACTAAACCAGGACTAAACAGGACTAAACCAGGACAAAACCAAGGACTAAACAGGACTAAACAAAGGACTAAACCAGGACTAAACCAGGACTAAACAGGACTAAACCAGGACTAAACAGGACTAAACAAGGACTAAACCAAGGACTAAACCAGGACTAAACCAGGACTAAACAAGGACTAAACCAGGACTAAACCAGGACTAAACAAGGACTAAACCAGGACTAAACCAGGACTAAACCAGGACTAAAGGACTAAACCAGGACTAAACAAGGACTAAACCAGGACTAAACAGGACTAAACCAGGACTAAACCAGGACTAAACCAGGACTAAACCAAACCAGGACTAAACCAGGACTAAACAAGGAAACCAGGACTAAACCAGGACTAAACAGGACTAAACCAGGACTAAACTAAACAAGGACTAAACCAGGACTAAACAAACCAGGACTAAACCAGGACTAAACAAGGACTAGGACTAAACAAGGACTAAACCAGGACTAAACAAGGACTAAACCAAGGACTAAACCAGGACTAAACCAGGACTAAACCAGGACTAAACCAAGGACTAAACAAGGCTAGGACTAAACCAAGGACTAAACCAGGACTAAACCAGGACTAAACACAAACAGGACTAAACCAGGACTAAACAAGGACAAACCAGGACTAAACAAGGACTAAACCAGGACTAAACCAGGACTAAACCTAAACAAGGACTAAACAGGACTAAACAAGGACTAAACCAAGGACTAAACAGGACTTAAACCGGACTAAACCAAACCTAAACCAGTTCTACACCAGGACTAAACCAGTACCAAGCCAGGGCCAAACCAGGACTAAACCAATTTTAAACCAGTTCCACATCAGGACTAAATCAGGACCAAACCACTACCAAACTTGGACTAATCCAGTTGTAAACCAGTTCTAGACCAGGACTACACCAGGACTAAACCAGGACTAAATCAGTTCTAAACCAGGACTAAAAGAATTCTAAACCAGATCTACACCAGGACTGAACCAAGAATAAACATGTACCAAGCCAGAGCCAAACCAGTTCTAAACCAATTCCACATCAGGACTAAATCGGGACCAAACCAGGACTAAACTTGGACTAAATAAAACAAATTCTACACCAGTTCTAAACCAGGACTAAACCAGTTCTAAACAAATTCTACATCAGGACTAAACCAGACCCAAACCATGACCAAACTTGGACTAATCCAGTTGTAAACCAGTTCTAGACCAGTTATAACCAAGTTCTACACCAGTTCTAAACCAGGACTAAACCAAGACTAAACCAGGACTAAACCAGTTCTACACCAGGACTAAACCAAGACTAAACCAGGACTAAACCAGTTCTACACCAGGACTAAACCAGTACCAGGCCAGCGCCAAACCAGGACTAAACCAATTTTAAACCAGTTCCACATCAGGACTAAATCAGGACCAAACCATGACCAAACTTGGACTAATCCAGTTCTAAACCAGTTCTAGACCAGTTTTAGACCAGGACTAAACCAGTACCAAGCCAGGGCCAAACCAGGACTAAACCAATTCCACATCAGGACTAAATCAGGACCAAACCAGGACCAAACTTGGACCAATCTAGTTCTAGACCAGTTTTAGACCAGTTTCAAATCAGGGCCAAACCAGTTCTAAACCAGGACTATCCAAATCTCTGCTCTGGGTCTATTTTTAGCCGCTGTCATGTTTGCTCGGCTCTGGTCTGCTGATGCTTTCAGAGGTCAAAGGTCACACAGAGAGGCCCTGTTAAAACCAATCCGGCAGCTCGGTGTTAGCAGGTTATCGCTAACAGGCTCTGCTGCCGGATCCGTAACACGTCACGCTCGCTGCATTACAGACCATTATCTGCAGAGGCTACGGACCACGCAACAACTTTACACCAAAAACAGACTCTAGTTTTATAGTTTTACACAAATCAAGAAGAAAATTGTGAAGAAAAATTGAAAAATATGTTGAAAATTACAGAAAGTGGAGCTCTATTTTAGGGATTTCTGTCCAAAGATGTTAGCCACAATTTTCACAATAAACTCATTTTTAAACAGGATTTCAACAAAATAATGATGCTTTTTTTATATTTGTATTTTTTAATGATCAGATTTTAATTTCTGTGTAAATTAGAGGAGTTTTAACTGTGTTTTAGTGTCAGTAATCGCACCTTAACATAATCTGAATACACATTTAACGCAATTAAATGCTATTTTCTGATTATTATGCAATACAGAAACCAGGACTAAACCAGGACCAAACCAGGTCTAAACCAGGACTAAACTAGGTCTAAACCAGGTCTAAAATAATTCTAAACCAGTTCTACACCAGGACTAAACAAGGACCAAACCAGGACTAAAATAATTCTAAACCAGCTCCACACCAGGACTAAACCAGCACTAAACAAGGACCAAACCAGGACTAAACCAGGACAAAACCAGGACTAAACCAGGACTAAAATAATTCTAAACCAGCTCTACACCAGGACTAAACCACTAAACAAGGACCAAACCAGGACTAAACCAGGACTAAACCAGGACTAAAATGATTCTAAACCAGTTTTACATCAGGACTAAACCAGGACTAAATTAGGACAAAACCAGGTCTAAACCAGGACTAAAATAACCAAACCAGACAGACTAAACCAGGACCAAACCAGGACTAAAACAGGACTAAACCAGGACTAAAATATTCTAAACCAGTTTTACATCAGGACTAAAATAAACCAGGGACTAAACCAGGACTAAACCAGTAAATAAAGACCAGGACTAAACAGGACAAAAGGACAAACAGGTCTAAACCAGGACTAAACCAGTTCTACACCAGGACTAAACCAGGACTAAACCAGGACCAAACCAGGACTAAACCAGGACTAAACCAGGACTAAATTAGGACAAAACCAGGTCTAAACCAGGACTAAACCAGGACTAAACCAGGACCAAACCAGGACTAAACCAGGACAAAACCAGGACAAAACCAGGTCTAAACCAGGACTAAAATAATTCTAAACCAGTTCTACACCAGGACTAAACCAGGACTAAACAAGGACCAAACCAGGACTAAACAGGACTAAACCAGGACTAAACCAGGACCAAACCAGGTCTAAACCAGGACCAAACCAGGACTAAACCAGAGGACCCTAAACCAGGACTAAACCAGGACTAAAACAGGACTAAACCAGGACCAAACCAGGACCAGGACCCAAACCAGGACTAAACCAGGACTAAACCAGGACTAAACTAAACTTGTGTAAACTCCATGTTTGTTTATCCCTCTTTCTATCTCTGTTTCCTGTGAGCGTCGCAGCAGTAGGAAACATTCTAGGCTCGTTCACGATGGACTTTTTCAAAATAAAAGCCAGTGAATAAAAAAATCAATAATAAAAACTGTGTTAAACGTGTCTCCAAACATCTTCCAACATTCTGGCTCACGAGGAAATGAGGTCCTATGTCCAAAATTCTGGTGTTTTCAGCTTGTTTGAAGAACTAAACATGCAGGGTTAAACATGTGTGAAACGTAACCTGGGCAGTTTTTAAATAAAATAAATAAAAATAAGACTCACCATCCTCCGTGGGCACGTAGACGTTCAGGTAGAGGCAGTCCTCGCTCTGGTCCTGCACGTACTGGACCACTGTATCCAGGTTGGCCGTGAACCAAACGGGCATCATGTCGTTCAGCAAAAAACGATCCTCCAGGTACTGCGGGCACACGGGGGCAAACTGCGTGGCATTCCTGATCCCGGGCCAGGACATGGGCGGCTCCGGGGGCTGGAATCTCCTCTCCGAAACGGGCGGCAAAGCGTACGGTATTCCCAAATACTGCTCCACCGGGCCCAAGATCTCATTCGGTAACGTGACTTTGACCCCGCGCAGTTTTCCGTAATTTGTGGTGACGATGGGCTGCGTTTGGAGACAGTCGGAGAAAGGAACGAGGTAAAAGAAAATACACAACCAGGATTGGGCCATGGCGATGCAATTCCACGGCGGGCCACTAGAGGCGTGCATCGCTGTGGGGGGGGAAAAAAAAAAAAAAAAAAAAAAAAGGAGGTATTCCGAAAGTTAAGATTCAGATCCAAACGTGAGGAAAGAACGGAGACGCCCCATAACCGCAGGGTAACAGGTTTGATCCGTCACACAGAGGAATCCACAAACGCCAGAGCCATGGAGGAAACCGGAATCCTGCCAAGAGAGAAACGGGAAAAGATGAATGGACACGAAGCGGCTGATGTCGTCAATATTCTTTGTGAGGCTAACCGGAGGCACTGCTCTGTCTGAGGCTTTGTCTGAGTTTAATCTGAGTTTTGTTTGAACACGATCTGACCTGAAGAACCTGGAGGGATTAAAGCTCAGTTTGGATTTTTTTGTGAAATCCGATTTTTTTTTTGCGAGGTCGTTCACATTTCCAGTGAAATGTGACTTCCAGTGTGAACTTTAAACTAAACCAGGACTGAGCTAGAACTGAACCAGGACTAAGTCAGGTCTACACCAGGATTAAACCTGGTCTAAACCCGGACTAAACCAGGAGGACTAAAACATGACTAAACCAGGACTAAGTCAGGTCTAAACCAGGAGGACAAAAACAGGACTAAACCAGGACTCAACCAGGTCTAAACCCGGACTAAACAAGGAGGACTAAACCAGGACTAAACCAGGACTAAGTCAGGTCTAAACCAGGAGGACAAAAACAGGACTAAACCAGGATTAAACCTGGTCTAAACCCGGACTAAACCAGGAGGACTAAAACACGACTAAACCAGGACTAAGTCAGGTCTAAACCAGGAGGACAAAAACAGGACTAAACCAGGTCTAAACCCGGACTAAACAAGGAGGACTAAACCAGGACTGAACCAGGACTAAACCAGGACTACGTCAGGTCTAAACTAGGACTGAACCAGGTCTAAACCAGGACTGAACCATGACTAAACCAGGACTAAACCAGGACTAAGTCAGGTCTAAACCAGGACTGAACCAGGACTAAACCAGGTCTAAACCAGGACTAAACCAGGTCTAAATCAGGACTAAACCAGGACTAAACCAGGTCTAAACCATGACTAAACTAGGACTAAACCAGGACTAAGTCAGGTCTAAACCAGGACTGACCCGGGACTAAACCAGGTCTAAACCAGGACTAAACCAGGTCTAAATCAGGACTAAACCAGGACTAAACCAAGTCTAAATCAGGACTAAACCAGGACTAAACCAAGTCTAAATCAGGAGGACTAAAACAGGACTGAACCAGGACTAAAACTTGACTTAACCAGAAATGAGCCAGAACTGAACCAGGACTAAATCAGGTCTACACCAGGACTAAACCAGGTCTAAACCAGGGCTAATCTTGGACTTGAGTGAGAGAGAGATGGTCCTTGTTCAGTCCTTGTTCAGTCCTTGGTTCAGTCCTTGGTTCAGTCCTGTTTTAGTCCTTGGTTCAGTCCTTGGTTCAGTCCTTGGTTCAGTCCTTGGTTCAGTCCTGTTTTAGTCCTTGGTTCAGTCCTTGGTTCAGTCCTTGGTTCAGTCCTGTTTTAGTCCTGGTTATCTGTTTTTTCATTTTAGTTTTGGAGACAAATAACGAAGAAAATAGTTGTTTTTTTTCGTCTTATTTTTGTTTTTATTTTGAAAAACGAATGAACGAATGACACACAGATTTGAAAGCACAGAACCTTGAGAATTCCCTGGATGAACATTTATAAAAGCAAGAATCTCTATAGTTTAAGAGAGCTGGAAGACAATTTCCCGTGTAACTGTCAGATTTCATTACCGGGCCTATCCACATGAAACAAAACCGGCACAAAGTTCAACGTCTTCTCTGCCAGCACAAAGAAACAAAAGTGAAATAATAAAATAATAAAACTGCTTCAGAAAGTGTTGTGATTGTTGCCTTTAAATCTTTTAGTCAAATGCGTTTTCCGTGGAGATGTTATTGCTTTATCTGGAACGTTTCACAGTACGACTTGAAACGTTTCTATCGTCATGGAGACCAAACCAGACCAAGTTGCAGGTCAGATCGGTCAGAATGCCTGTTTTTCGAGGTATTTTTGAGCTATAAAACCAACTGTAATACACGCATCCCGAATTTTGGACTTCCGATTATCGCGCAATCCACACTGGGAAGGATTCTCCGAAAAACTGAGCGTCAATGTCACGTCATGTTTGTTTTCCCAGTGGGATGCGTCTATTGGAAAGTCGATCTTTTCAAGTCTTTTGAACCGTATCGCTTTTGTTTCTGGTTCTGATATTGTCATTTTTAGTTTTGGGATTCGGACATCGTAATTGTGTGGTTGTTGGATGTTCCTAACAGCGGAAAACGGCTCGAGAAATTTGTTTGCGAACTCCATAAATGTAAAAGTGAATCAGATGTGTGTGACTGTAAACCTCCGTTCAAACTGTTTCTCTTCCCAACGGAATTGAAAAATAGTAAAAGGTGAAGGTGATGGGCAGGATTGATCCACAGGAAGGAACCAAAAAGGAAACATTTGCCTAAGAAATCATCCCGAGTTTGCAGAGAACATTTTGTATGTGGAGCGACAACAAAGCAAAATCCTGTTTGTTAATGGAGAGGAGCAGAAGACAAACAGACTGAGCTGCACTTTCTTGTTCTTGTGGTTTTACAGCAACATCACGTCTTGGTCTCTTTGCAGTGGAAGGTGTTTCTTGGTGAACAGTTGGTTCACTTTGGCGTTGACTTTTTAAATTCGTTACCGAGGTTGAGCGAAGGATCGGGGTTTTGCTTTGTTGTTGCTCCACGTACAAAATGTTCACCGCAAACTCAGGATGATTTAGTCCAGGGGTCTCAACCTCAAATTACCTGGGGGCCACATTAGATAAAATTCTGAGTGAGGCTGGGCCGCATTGAGTATTCGATAAAAAGCGGTTGCCATATGTGCACGTGTACTCATATTAACAGATCCACTTAGACTCGTTGCTTCACATCTGCTGTAAATTGAGTTTTGGGATGTTGTTGTGAATCTGCACGGGCACCGATTGCAGCTTCATCTGTCAGTGCGGCCCGCGGTCGGGGGGTGGGATTGTGCTTACATCTACTGCGGGCCACACTGACATTATTCTTTGGAATTAAATGGAGCCGCAAAAAATCCTTCCGAGGGCCGCAGTTGGCCCCCGGGCCGCGAGTTTGAGACCCTTGATTTAGTCAGTCAAATGTTTCCTTTTTGGTTCTTCCTGTGGATCAGTCCTGCCCATCGCCTTCACCTTTCACTATTTTTCAATTCCGTTGGGAAGAGAAACAGTTTGAACGGAGGTTTGAGTCACACACATCTGATTCACTTTTGCATTTATGGAGTTCACAAACAAATTTCTCGAGCCGTTTTCCGCTCTTAGGATCCAACAACCACACAATTACGATGTCCGAATCCCAAAACTAAAATATGACAATATCAGAACCAGAAACAAAAGTGATATGGTTCAAAATGGGGATGGGCATGATTAATCGATTAATTGATAATTAAAAATTTCATCGATTACATTAATTTTAATGGACAAACCGAATGTATGTTGCTGTGTGTGTTGTGACCAAACAGGTGTGTACATGTGTCTCTGCATCAGAAGGAGCGAGACACAAACAGTGGGTCAGTCTGTAACGAACCGAAGCACAAATGTGGATTTAACGATGATTTGTACAAGAAATTCCACACTTTCCGTTGCGTTCGGGACAAGTGTGAGTCCATGTGCACAGTGGATAAAGCAGCACATATGTTTCTGTGTCCAGTGGGAAAAAGGTTTTACCAGGTGAGAGTCGCTCAATGTTGATGACGAGGCCCCGCCCCCCTCCCCCCGTACGCTGTCCTGGTTTTGACAAACGCAAATACAGTCACACTAACCTGTATTCACCTGAGTCATGTCTTTTAATCTGACAAAAATTGAACCACATCAGCGACACAAGAGCTGTAGTTTTATCTTCGCTTAGTTTATGCAAATTAGTGATGCAGTTTTAAGTTTTGTTTCTGTGAGATTTGAACAAAACTGAATTAAACACATTATAATGTCAAACGGGCTGATGTGGCTCTAGAGTCGTTATGTTTATATGTCGTAAAGTTGAATTTATTTATGCAGATTAGTAGTGCAGATAGTAATAATAATGATGATCATTTTAATATAAAAACGTTAATGATTAATCGATAATCGAACGATCAGTTAAGAAAATTTCATCGAATGCCCGTCCCTAGTTCAAAAGACTAGAAAATATCGACTTTGAAAATAGACGCGTCCCACTGGAAAACAAACATGGCGATTTGATGCTCACTTTTTCGGAGGATCCTTCCCAGTGTGGATTGCGCGATGACCGGAAGTCTGAAATTCGAGATGCGTGTATTGAAGTAGAGCTGTTTAAAGTCATACTGTGGGACATTCAAAGTACAGAGCAATGACATCTCCATAGAAACAAGGAGCTGACGGACCGACGATCAAAAAGTTACTCAAAAAGTTTAACATTTATGCATCATTAGTTTAACGATTTCTTTCAAAAGCAGCAAATCTCCCAGTAACATCTGAAATTAGAACGTCAGATTCCAGACATCTTTGTACGGCGAGTCACTTTTGAGTTTCCGTCTCTTCTTTTCATGCCTTTTTCACAAACGCCAGAGTCTGATCCGGGTTTGAAAAATAACGGGGGGCTTGCGAGCGGCGCCAGGCTTTATTGGAGGCAGAGGGTAATTAATCACCATCGGAATAAATATGAGAATGTGAAACAGTCTCGGGGCTTTGGAGAAATGAAATTAAATCAGCTGTAATTCTCCGAGAGGTTCTGACGTTTGAGTCGATCTGCTGGATAATCTTCACCAGCGGGATGTAAGTGAAGAAGAACTCGTTTGAAGGTCTTATGTTACGCAAAATTGATTCTTGCGAGCTTTAAGTCGTGTTATAACGTCAAGTCTTCAAAAACAGACGTGGAGTTGTGTTTTGTTTCATTCACAAGTTTGAGTGACACTTTATTATTAGTCTGTTTGTTTAGTTTTTGTGTTAAACATGAGTGAATGAAACAAAACACAACTCCAGGTTTGTTTGTGATGAGAAAACGACATTATAACAACAACACAGATCTGAAAATAGTGTCATATGTTTTTTGTTTTTTTTAATAAAGTGATTAAATTAAATACAAAATGACGACAACTACACAGCAAAAACTGGAGGGTTAAAATTTTAGGGTAAAATATTGTTGTTTTTAACACAAAAAGTGTTATTTTAACTATCTGAAAGTGAAATGGGGGTTTGATATGCCAGAGTTGATATGGTTGAAGTGAATTCAACTTCCTCTAGTGTTAATTCAACTTCCTCTAGTGTTAATTCAACTTCCTCTAGTGTTAATTCAACTTCCTCTAGTGTTAATTCAACTTCCTCTAGTGTTAATTCAACTTCTCTCAGTGTTAATTCAACTTTTCTCAGTGTTAATTCAACTTCCACTAGTGTTAATTCAACTACTTTAATGTGTTAATTCAACTTCCTCTAGTGTTAATTCAACTTCTCTTAGTGTTAATTCAACTTCCAGTGTCAACTTGTGTTAATTCAACTTCTCTTAGTGTTAATTCAACTTCTCTTTATGTGAATTCATCTTCCTCTAGTGTTAATTCAACTTCTTTTAGTGTTAATTCAACTTCCTCTAGTGTTAATTCAACTTACTTCTCTAGTGTTAATTCAACTTCTCTTAGTGTTATTCAACTTCCTCTAGTGTTTAATTCAACTTCTTTTAGTGTTAATTCAACTTCCACTAGTGTTAATTCAACTTCCACTAGTGTTAATTCAACTTCCTCTTGTGTTAATTCAACTTCCACTAGTGTTAATTCAACTACTTTTAATGTTAATTCAACTTCTCTCTGTGTTAATTCATCTTCCTCTAGTGTTAATTCAACTTCTTTTAGTGTTAATTCAACTTCCTCTAGTGTTAATTCAACTTCTTTTAGTGTTAATTCAACTTCCACTTGTGTTTGATTCAACTTCCACTAGTGTTAATTCAACTACTTTTAATGTTAATTCAACTTCCTCTTGTTAATTCAACTTCCTCTTGTGTTGATTCAACTTCCACTAGTGTTAATTCAACTACTTTTAATGTTAATTCAACTTCCTCTCTGTGTTAAACTTCAAACTTCCTCTAGTGTTAATTCAACTTCCACTTGTGTTGAATTCAACTTCCTCTAGTGTTAATTAAACTTCTCTTTATGTGAAATTCATCTTCCTCTAGTGTTAATTCAACTTATTTTAGTGTTAATTCAACTTCCCTTGTGAGTTTAATTCACTTCTCTTAGTGTTAATTCAACTTCCCTTAGTGTTAATTCAACTTCTCTTAGTGTTAATTCAACTTCTTTTAGTGTTAATTCAACTTCCTTAGTGTTAATTCAACTTCCACTTGTGTTAATTCAACTTCCTCTAGTGTTAATTCAACTACTTTTAATGTTAATTCAACTTCTCTTTATGTGAATTCAACTTCCTCTAGTGTTAATTCAACTTCCTCTAGTGTTAATCCAACTTCCAGTGTTAATTTGTCTCCTCCCACCCACCACTTCAAACTCCCGCGTGAGAAGACCAGTTTGAACCAGTTTTGCACATAATTTCATCTTAAATTAACTCAAATAAAGTGTAAAAATAAAACGCCTCTGTGTGTCGTTTAGTTAAATCAGTATAACTCTACAAAGTGTTATCCGTTTACTCTCAAAACATTAATACAATGGGAACTTTGGTCCAGAATTAACATTTCCAAAAAAAAAAAGTCAGTTTTATTACTCCACTTTTTGTTCTGCTCACTTCTGTCCTGTAAATTTAACTTTTTTAGTATCGATACCTGTGAAAAAAGAGGATCTAGTTTCGATTTTTAGTTTCAGTATCGTTTAGAATGTGATTTTCGAGACTTTTATCAGCCCTTTTAACACTCACTCTGCGGTAAACTCTGCACACACGTTCTCCGTTTGTTTCTTCGCTCTGGTCCAGTCATATTTCATGAAGGTTTGGGGGGTTTTGGTCTCCACAGAGCCAAAACCTGAGGCAGAAATCGTATTTTAAAAACATATTACCGACTCGGGACCCGGGGCTATAAAAGTCTATCACTGAAATCGAACGCGGTTATAGTTTAACGCTGGGGAACACTGTGTAATGCCTGTTACCACGGGAACGGCAAAACACGGACTTATAACGGGAGAGAGACCGAACAAAATAAGTTAAGACAACACTTTGCATCGGCGCCGCGAGACTTGTACCTGGATTTTTACTGTCTTAAAAATGCAAAAAGCAGAGATAGTTCATTTTAGTTCAGTTTGCAGTGGTCCAAAGTTATTCCTCGCTTTACCCAACGTTCAATTATTCACAGAGGCCAGTTTATTCCGCACAAAGAGAGCGGAGTTTTACCGTCGTCTCACTGAAGCGGACGACGACAAAAATAAACCAAGGACTAAACCAGGTCTTGGTCAGGTTCAGTCTCAGTTCTCCGTCGAGTTTACGTGGAAATAATCATTCGGAATTGAGGTTTACATGGAAAACAACAGTCGTCCCCAACCTTTTCCTCACCACGGACCGGTTTTATATCCGACGATATTTCGCGGACCGGAGGGGATTGGGGGGT